AATTTTTGATCTTTGGCAGCTTTTAAGACATTAATTTCAGCTTCCTAACCCCACATGGCTGTCATGCACATCTTCAGGGCTTGGAGGAAGCGCCATCAGATTTCTCATATAAGGTGTTCACGTTCAGGCATTTCAAGTTTGCTCATTTTGTGCAGACTTTCTGAATTTGACTTTCTGAATTGACCGCCCCACTGTCAAGTCTAACAGATGAGCTCTCGGTACATGGAAATCACAGTGAACCTCTGAAACCAACAAGTCCAAAATAATGCAATCCCAGCTCAACTTCAGCCTTTCCCCCACTCCCCACCAGGGGGCGTTTGGTGGTGTTCTGGGGACATGCTTAGCGTGCACCCTGCGGAGGGGGAGGGGCACCGCGTGCTGCTGACCACCTGGCAATGCACAGCACAGTCTCCACCACGAAGACTAACCAAGCTCCAAATGCCAAGAGTGCCGAGGTGGGAATCCACGGGCAGATCCCAGAGACGCCCACGGCCACTGGGGCACCCCAGCAGGACTGGATGGCAGTCATGACTGCACACCCTTTGCTCAGCCGCACGTAACTGAAACCGGGGTGAAGGCTCAGCGCCCCACTCCGGGTGCTGGCTAGGACCACTGTCACCCCTAACTTAGTCCTCACAACCACCCCTCAGGCAAGGCGTCATCTCCGTTTCAGAGCTCGGGAGACAGGGCAGAGAATCAGGTCACCTGCCCAAGATCACAGTCACTGGGGACGTGCCCAGCAGGAACCCCCGCCACACCCTAGCTGTGCCGCCCAGACCACGTGGAGCAGCAGATGGAAAATGGGACGGGGGGTGTACCCAGCCTTTGTTTTTGAGTCCTGAAATGTTAAGCACCTTTTATAAAAAGTGCCAATGACCTGGGGAGAGGGGATAGCTTGGTGGTAGAGTGACAGCTTAGCATGCATGAGGTCCTGGGTTCAATCCCCAGTCCCTCCGTTTAAATAAATAAACCCAATTGCCTCCCCTCCAACCACTGCCCCTCAAAACCAAAAACAAAACAAGACCAAAAAAACAAACAAAAATGCCAAAGAACAGAAATAAAGTGCCAGTAATCTAAGAATTACTCTCAGGTACAAATGTAAGTGATAATATTATACTAACTTGCCTATTTCAAGTAGATTATAAATTAGAACATTTTTAGATTATAAATCACGTTTACACCTGTCTTACAAACAGGTACCAAAAAGCCATCAGAAGCCCTAGGGACCTCCCTCCAGGCCTTCCCCGTCTTCCTTTCTCCCCTTCCCCTCGGCTGCTTCTTGAAAGCACAGAAGTCACGGCCCTGAGAACAGGCTTTTCCTTCACAAACCCTGAACTTCAAATGACCTGGCGGCCTCCGGCGGGTCAGCACAGGAGTCTGGCCAGCCTCCCAGTTACTGTTTACACTTCTCAGACCTCGCCGAGAAATCTGGACACGAGCCGCGTCAAGCCCTTGTGTCTCCGGACGGAAATTGTCACCGAGGTCACACTGCCCGAGGCTGCACCCCTGGGACAGCTGTCCATGCAGACGTTAACCTCGGCCGCATTCCTCCAGAGCCCCCGAGCGCGCAGAGCGACTCCAGCCTCCCTCCCCAGCAGTGCGGGACCCTCGCATCCCGTCCTCTCAGCCTGCTCGGGACACAGAACTCACGAGGCCCGGAGGCTCTCAGATCTGGAGCACACAGCGCCCCTGGTGACGAGATGGGTTCACCCTTAGAGACACCATGATGTCGCAGTACCTGGCGACGCTCCGTCACCAGAGGTCAGAGGAGCTAACACGGGGGCTGGCTCTCAACATCGGCTGGAGGCTGACACCCGCGGCAGCCCGCCGGCCCCGGGAGCTCCGATCTGGAGGCTGGTGGACCCGGCGTTCTCACCGTCCCACTCCTGGGCTTGCGGCCGCTGGGGCGGACCACTCGGGGAGGCGCCGCCCGGCCCCCAGCTCGTGCCCACCAGGCCGCACGTCCTGCTCCAGCAAGGAACCTGAGGCTCAAAGTCAACGAGGGAAAGGCCTGCGGGGTGTGGCAGGGGTCACAGGGGTCCCCGGGTCCAGGGCGGGGGGCCCCGCGAGGATGGGAGGAGCAACAAGGGCAGCTGTGAAAGCAGTAAATCACCCGGGGCCCCGGGGAGGAGCGGCCCCTCCCAACCCACCCCTCAGACAAGCCTGCGCCACGTGTGGGGTGAACAGGCAAAGGGACGCGTGGAAATGGGCTGTCCACACACACTGCAGCATTTAGAAGTCGACGTCGCATTGTTCTGTAAGACTGTCATTTTTGTGTCTGCCTCAGCTACTGGGCATCCAGGACCCTGGGCAGAGGGTGCAACTACCACAGGAGCTGGCCCGGAGCCTCAGACACCCCTTTACAAGCCTCAGTAGCTGAGTCGCGCCCTCATCTTCATCGGGTGCTGCCTCCGCATCACATCCGGGCTGAACCTGACAGCAAGGACCACAGCTGGAGACCCGCGGGCCAGCTGCGACATCAGCGGTCCACCCACACCGAAGCCATCAACACAAGCCCCAAGGACACCCAGTAAAAACCGGGAACTGAGGAAGGCGTTTCAGCTACGGCTGTCACGGGTCACGTCCTTTCTGAAATCCATCACAAACACAGCAATCAAACCTCTCCCTTCCCCTACGGTCCTTGCGGCCCGGCCACCTCATGGGACCACCTAACTGAAGCCATCATGGATTTGAAGAGCGTATTTCATTCAGCCACCTGCTGTTATCAAAGGCACCGAGGCCCAGGGAAGTTAAGGCTCCAGGAGAGCCACACAGCATGAAATGAAAAGAGCAACCAATTGCAAACAGCAGTGAGATTCAGAATTTCCTATTACCCTCACCCACTTAAGAGCTTCGGACTTGGCTTTTATCTTCTAGCTCTCCTGTTATCTTTGAGATCTTCTCAAGACGTTAATGACCGTTCTCTGTAACCAGTTCGCTTTCCAAGGACAAGATCATTCACTCAGCAGCAAGTCAGCAAGTTTCACCACGTGCCAGGCACCCTGCGGGCCACACCCCTCCTGACGGGGGCTGGGGAGGACTGATTCACTGTGACCTGCAGCAGGAGGACGAGGCTACACATTTCACAAATGAGCAAACAGGTCCAGAGCAATGGGTGACCCCTCCAAGGGCACAGCCCCAGGGCAGGGTGAGTCAGACCACAGGCCCACCTTCCCGAGTCCTAGGTTCGGACCCTCAGCGCAGGCTGAAGCATGACTGGTGGTCGGCACTGCTTCAAGGCTGTAACTGGATCACCTGGGGTACTCCAGGCTTGCAAAACGCCGCCGGTCAGGACTAAGAAGAGCAGGACAACTCTTCATGGGGCGCGCTGCGCCCTGTCAGACAGCTCCTCCAGCACCGGCAGGACGCCGAGTAACCGGGGCCGTCTCTAGCACCCGAGACGTCTCTGTTTTCACAGACTGGGACTGTTCTGCAGTTACACATTTTCATGACCACCAAGTCTAATGCCTATTTTGGAGATCGGACATACATCTCAGTGCCTCGAAGATCTCAGTTCTCCTACTCGGGAAATTTGCAACTTCAGTTTGTTTCACCGTGACATTGCGCCAAGCAGGAATCAAAGGCCGGACTAGTGTCACTACAAGGGGAAGGATGGACTCTCCATGACAAACGCATACACATTCATCCCTGCAGGTGTGAGATCTAACCTTTAAAACATGTTCTGACGATATTAAGATTCTCTGTTGACACCAAACCTACTGAGGTAAACTGTGATGTGCTGAGCACACCGGCCCCACTGTGGGCGTGCCATCCCCAGGGTGTGTGGCGACCACAGAACGCACAGAACCCAGCACCACACAAAACAGGAAGTTCAGGTAAGAACAGCTGTGGTACATGAACATTTTTGCTCCCCAAACACAACTGTTAGGGAAAGTAATGTGATTGACTCGATTTTAAAACCTTGCTTTAGAATTTTGATACAGCAACTTACAAGCTGTTAATTTAGACACTGATTTTAGTAATTATCAGTCAGAAGATTCTATGATGTCTAGAAGCCGTCCCCAAAACCTGCAGTGAAAAAGGCAGGAACACACAAGACAAGGTTATTGTTCACACAGCCGCCTCGCCGCACCCCCGCGGCGCCTAAGCTGGGGACAAGGCCGCCGGGAAGCGTCTCAGGCTCTAGGACAGAAACGGAAGCATGTCCCTGGCTACACTTCCTATTCAGCAACTGTGCACTTTTGTTGAAGCTCAACCAAAATTTTCCCACCTTCCCTAGTTTTCTGGCAATCTTTGTTCCTGCGAAGAGATTTGAGAGCTATTGCATATTTAAATTTCTACCAGATGAATTCAAAGTCGACTGAGACTAAGTTTGAAACGGGCGAGACCACGCTCTTCCCAAGGTTCGCAGTGCGCAGACGTCTCCTGACACACCGCTCGGACCTAAAAGGAAAATGCTTCCCAATGGCCATCTTAGAACATGCTCTTGGGAGACACAAACTAGTCTTCAAAACCAATGGTTTTCTCAGTTAAAATTTCTTTTCTTGGAAACAAAATTTTTGTTTTAATGTCTATCTACTAAGCATACTCCTGATAGCTGCCTGGCATCACAGAAAACTCAACAAATTCAGAGTATTATCTGCAAGAAAAATGCCCAGCGTTCTCAAATGCCTGTGTGTGCATTTCCCAGACCAACCAGTCAGCTGGGAACAGAGCAAGTTTCAGCGTCACTCCCTACCTCATCCAAGGACTCCACCACTTAATACAACTCAGAACTGAGAACTTACAACTGCAGTATTTTGTAAGACGGAAAAAAACCAAACACCCAGACTGAATGAAAATTTCTGGCCACTTCTTTAGAAATGAGTATCTGTTGTTTAAGAGATGAAATTCAAAGCAACGAAGTTCACTTTACAGACAAGAATCTCAGACTGCAGGCACCCGCGTCCTGTTCCCCAGCCTGCGCAGGAAACTGCTGGTAACACGGACGACTGTGTACCCACGACTCTGACATTTTGAAAAACATACCTAAAACAGAGCATTGGGAATACTATTTTATTTAGTCATTTTTGTTTACAACTGAAACTCTGGAAATTCAAAATTAACATCCTTGCCCGTGAGCTTCTTATAGACACCAGAAAATGTTTCAACCTACGAGAAAAGAAAGAATTCATCACAAAACTTTTCAATACACTTTCGTCTTAAAGCCTAATGATTCCGTGAAGCCGCGCCCTGTGGTTTTTCTCCTCAGCAACTAGGCACTGAGGAGGGCTTCGCGGACATGCCCTCTGCACTCCCAAGTGGATACGCGCTCACCTTCTATCGTGGGACAGGGCTCTGCACCCGAGGGCCGCACTCCTCCAGGCCCCCGGGGCTGTCCACATTGGCTCTGCTTTAGCAGGAGTGAAGCGACACTTCCCTCCCGACTCTAACACCGGCCCCACCACACGCAGACACTGCCCCACTACCAGTCACTCCACGGAATGACATGACTTCCATTTCTCCTAATAACCTAAAAGGTAGTGAACTCCAATTTTTAAAACATCTCCCAATTTAAAACCTGACACATAATCCAAAGGGAAGTGGGTACAGATGAAAAAAGCCGGCCCCACGCGTTCGCCAAGACCGGTTCTGGCACCACCCAGACACGGGTGAGGCTGCCCCGCACCGAGCCCGTGCCTGGACCTCTCCGCGGCAGGGCGGGCCTGGTACCTTGTGCTCCACGTTGTTCTGCTGCGCTTTGTCCAAGTGCACCTTTATGAGCCGGCTGCCGTCCAGCTTCACGCGGATCCTCTTGCCCACTATTTCACTCGGGAAGACCAGGTCCTCCAGGATGGCGTCATGCACGGCCGTCAGCGTGCGGCTAAGGGAACACGGTGACACAAGTCAGAAACCTAGCAGGGTCTGACCTCTTGTGAGCCCCCAGGGCACCTCACGGAGCCAAAGGTAAATGGCCAATTCCAGGCTCCTGAGACCAAACTCACACCAGTTTTCAAATAAACTGCTTGTATTTGATGTATCTTATTAGGGCCATGGCCAGAGCAGACCAGGCTGACAAACACCCTGTTACTTTGTTTCAGGGGCCCAGTGTGCTTTACACGTGATGCTTCATCAACTGCACACACACAAGCTGTTATGAGTGATTATCCCCAGGGAGCGCGAGGCTGACGAGGACTCGTATCATGTCTGTAGGTTTACTTTCACTTGTAAGATTTCTCCCCTGAATCACTGCAGTGACCGCTCTGCTCCTCTTGCTCACGTGCAAAACACCTCCCTCCAATGCTGTCAGGTAACTACTGACATCACAGCACACCCGACCTACCGGGACCCTGTGAGGACTCTCCGTGGCCTCAAAGGTGCGCAGGAACTCCTCCTGGTTTCCTTACGATCAAGTGATGTTCCATCTCAAAGACAGCAGCGCAGGGACAGTGGCCCCCGTCACACACACCGCGACGGGGCCGTGCTCCTCTGAGCAGCGCTTCACGCTCAAAACCCCTCTGGCTGCCTGACAACAGCTCAGCGATTCCCGAGTTTTAGGGCCCTGGCTCTGTACTACGGGACGTCAGGAATGAGTGAAAGGAGAGCGTTCTCACCGTCAACATTTACACAGCTACTTCCTATTTGGGAATCTGTCCAGGACACTAGGTCCCACTCATTCCTACTTCCTGTCGGCAGCTCCCACACACACAACAGGGGCTCTCAAATGACCGCAAAGGTCTCACTGCTCCACGGGGACAGCAACTCCAGGGACACCCACTTCCCAAAGCAAATGAGGCAGACGGCCCACGGGTCAATCACTGCTGACCGGTGACCAAGCCCGAACTCCTGCACACACATGGGAACCTGTTCACTTCTTCCTTCAAAACATAAACCAGAATGGAACCCAAGCTAGTCTTGGAGTCAGACTCCAACCCTGTCTAAAATCTTAAGGGGGAGCAGTGGCAGTGCAACCTCAATAATCACACACCACAGGGATTGATCTGCTTCGAAGAAAAAACTGAAACACTGTTACAGAGCAAAAGTCAAGGAAAACGAGTCTCAGCATGTAATCTGTGCAGAAGAGAACTCCTGAAGGACAATGAATCAGAAGGCAGGAAACCAGACTGGAAAGGGGGGATCACTCTGGCCTCCCAACCAGGTCCCAGCGCAGGGGAACGAGGCCTCCAGTGCCCAGACCAGGTCACCAGGAACAGGAGAGGCCACCTCCTGAGAAGCGCGCAGGCACAGGTTCGGGATAGAGGAGAATTTACGGTGTAGATCTGGGAGTGCCTGCGTTTGGTGCAAAGCCAAGGGTCTGCTTTGTACTAACACAGGTTGTCAGCACTGAGGTCACAAAACCACTTTTTAAGTGTCATGATTAACAAAACACTCTTGAATGTCCCCTATACTTAATCTCTTGCCAACTATCCAAAATGGCCAAAAAAAAAACCCTAAATTTTTATGCTATTCCAGCTGCCCTTAGAACAAGCTCAGAGTCTGACCGCATCATCCAAGCTCCAGTAAACCTGGCACCTGCCTCCCTGTCCCCCCCCACGATGTGGTTCAGCAACATCTTCCCACAACACTACTTCCTGTTTTCCAGAAGTTTTAGAAACAGGATTGAGTTGTGAAACCAGACTTCAAAAAAACACCAGAAAACCCAGATAAGAGAGCTAACTTCCAAAAGCTGAGTTCACGCAAGATAACCTGCAAGTCACAGGACACCTCCCGCCACCATCCGCCCCTGCAGTGGCACCGTCACCCTGAGACAGCAACAGGGAAATCTACACTTTTCAGCCGTAATTCACAGCAAAACTAAAAAGTGAAGACAACACACGCCAGGCCACCCGCACACCCGGAGTCACTGTTCCTGCCCTTTCCCCAAAGAACCAGAGGGAAGTCTCACCCTTTCTGATAGCAGTAACCTACCACCACCTGTGTGGGTGCGTATGCTTCTTACCTCCAGAGTTAACTTTAAAACATCTCACATGTTATCACAGAAGAAACCAAAAGTTACTCGCTAAAAATTCCCATGTGAATGGCTTTCCCAAATTATCAATGTTTAACTTCAGACACCTACTGCACCTCTTACTATAAACCCATGCAAGTCAACAAATGCTAACGGTACACACGTTCTCGGTGCTGGTAAAACTCACCTCCTGGGACGCTTTTGCTTATTTTTGGTTCGGCTTTTTCGAGTTGGCTTAGGCAGGATTCTCCTCTGTAAGATAAAAAATTACCATGCAACCCAATTAAAAAAAAGGGAAAGACCTTAAGTTGGCAGACTAGGAACTGTCAAACTCCTTTAAAAGCTGAAAGACTTAGCAGCTGGGTAAATTCAAAGTTCATTAAAGCCAAACCACCCAGACCAGACAAGTTACCGAGAAATCCTCGGAAGTACATCCTGGTCCTCACTAATTCATTCGGAATCCACGGCTTATATTACAATGAACTGGAAAAAACCCGCTGTTTCACGACTGGCTGACCTCCCAGGTATCACACACACGTTTCATCTGGCCACACCCACTGCAGGTACTACCGCGGAACACCATCCCTTGGACTCATCAGCCCGACACTTAATTCCCACACGTCTGTTTGCACGACGGCCACGGAACTTTACAAAACCTGACCATTTCCCCCTTTTTCTGCGAACTATTCCTTAGCGTCTCCTCCGCCTGAAACCTGCACCTGACCCAGCGGGGCCGTGCGCCCCCTCCTCCCCACGCCGCGAGCCCCCTGCCACCCAGAGCGGTCTCCTCGCGCCCGGGGAAGGGTCGTTCTCACCGCTTAGTCCCAACTCACGCCCTTTCAACGGAGCCCACAAGGCAGATACCTGAGCGATGAACACGACGTGCTTCCCGCTGAACTTTTTCTCCAACTCGCGCACCAGCCGGACCTGGATTTTCTGGAAAGATTTCAGTTGAGGGACCGGGACGAAGATTATGATAGCTTTCCGACCACCGCCAACTTCAATTTCCTGCGGAAAAGCGAGACCCACGCTCATCCTGGTCCACAGCGCTCCTCCTCCCGGCACGCGCGGCAGTGAGCGGCCGCTCCGCGCGG